TTTCTCATGCACTGTTACGTCTGCCAAGTGGAAAAAAGACACTGTCGGCCAAACTCGACAAGTTTCACACCTGTTCCATGGCCAGCCACAGATTTTCAGCTTCCTGAAACAAGGTGCAGTGCAGTGGTGTGTGCATCACCAGTCCTGAAGAATCACGCGGCTCAGCCTCTTCACCAACAGTCTCTTCCGAGATGGCCTCAGTCAGAACCCATGCCGAGATGGCTCATAGTTGGATCTTCATTGTCAAAGTGTGAAAGGGCTCTGGCGGTCAAAGGAATTTCAACCTCCTGGAATCAAGCATTCTTTGATATCCTGTCATTCTGTTAATTCATGTTACTTCTGTTTTGCGTTTTCCTAATTTTATCGGGCATTCATGCCAATTTGTTGCTTGTACCATCTTGTACATTGTACAATCGCAGAGACCTGAACAACCTGAACATTTTAAGAGTATCTAAGAGTCACTCTGCATCCTTCTGTTCCGTTCAGTCCCAAAAACTGACTTGGACATGAGGCGAAGGGCAACCCTTCAGAGCTGACCCATGCGACACACTTGAGCGCCCCCAGCTCCTCAACATTCCCACCTGGGCACATCTGCAAGCGTCACATGTTAGACGGGATACGTCACTCCTCTCTATTAACTTGGTGGTCACATCAGGGATATATGTGCCCAGCATCTAAGCAAAAGCCTTCATCCTTCAATGAAGATACTGACAAGACAAGAATCTATAGTCTATAAACTTAATAAATTATTGTCAGTAGCTTACCGAAGCAACTGTCTGTTGGCAAACAGAGCAGCTGAGATCAACGCTCCCAGGGTTCCTGCATTTCCAAATCTACTGTGCAAAAAAACGACAGAGCGACATCAGGAACACCCCTATGCCCCTCCATCACAGTTGAAACGTGCCTGAGGTCAGTGATGGACCCAGAACGCCCAAGTTGGGTGCCTCGCAAGGGCGACGAGAAGAAAACTCTCGCAACGCAAATCAGTCAGAAAACAAACATGGCGAAAGGATTGGGAAACAATGGCAAACAACAAACGTGATCAAACAGGCCCGCCTTTTGTGGTTCCCAATCGCAACAGGATATTGGTGCGAAGGTTTTCGAGACTGTAGATCTTGGTAGCTTCATCCAGTGAATTGTCGAATCGTTCCCGCTAAGATTTCTCTAGAGTCTGTTCTTGTTAGTCGCTCAGAGATGCAGAGTGGGTTGGAGGCTATCGCAGTCATCGTGAAGCATCGTGTAGTCACAAACATGGCTGTAGGCTGAAGGCTCATGGGACTCTCTGAGGCTAAAACCCTCTCCCCATAGCGATAGCCCAAACCGATGGCGGCTCGTGGTGTGGCACCTGATGTCGTCACTTGAGGAGTTTCCAATGGGGAATTCAGTGAAAGGCATGCACTCAAGGTATTCTTTCATGGATCATGTGGGCATATGTGGGCTACCATCCACCAAATGGTCTTTGCACAACATGTTCGCAAAGCCATGTGAACGGCCTGAAGATGAGGCTCTGCCACGAATTGACCAAGTCCTGGCACACGTGCTCCTTTTCTCACAGAGTGCACTGTCTCACTGCCACTGTCTCCAGGCAAAACCCGTTTTGATCGAACAAAGGACCAAATTTGCTTGAAGATTCGGAAGACCAACACATCCGTAGATAGTTGCTTCCACCGAACGGGTCCGTCCTCGGAGCATTACCTGGACGAAGTAAGGTGCACGACAGAAATTCTCTTTAGCACCAATCTATAGACATGTCTAGACTCCATCAATAGAGAGTTGCTGACAATCTTTCAGCATTGCTTCTGGATGTTATAGCATCTTTGAGTCGATACTTGACATTTTTGATCATGTTTGTACCCTGAATTGCTTGAAGAGTGGCTGGAGGCCAGCAAAAGGATCGCGGAGGAGAAAATATCATGCAGCATGGCCAGCTCTTCCTGAGCAAAGCTGTGGCAAATCTGAAACACAGCAGCGGCCCAAACAGGGCCACTTTAACAAAGCAAAGGTCCAATACAGGAAAAGCAGTACGTCCAATTAATCCGCAACAGAAACTCAAATTCAATTCCAACGACACACTCAACAGAACAACTCCCTTATCAGCAGCCTCGCTACTGCGGGCGAGCAAGGCCTGCAAACTGACGCTCTCTGTTGATCTCAAGTGAAGGATAAACAGCCACAGCGCCTCCGGCGAAAGGCGCTGAAGGATGCGTGTGAGATCCTGTCGAGCGACAACACGCTCACGACACAAGACAATCACATGAGTCTTATTGAGACTTACTGAAAAGGCATTCAGTTGGGTCCTTTTCTAGATATGTCTAGATCAAACATTCTTGTGACAATTGTGCATTCCCCCTCTTGCCTTGCGTGTCGCTCTCAGCTGCTTCAACGTTTCCCTCATACCTGCCAATGAAATAATTCTCATCCGATTCACGGAGGTTTTAGCCCTTTGCCTTTTGAAATGTCAACATGCAGCGAATGTGTTTGTTCTTCTTTTCGCACCGCGAGCAAAGTCGGGCCTGTGCCAGTACTCGTGAAGGACTGTGAGGAGCTCTGACTGGGAGCCTAGCACAAGCGCGAAGCTTTGCGACTGCCGGTGGAAGCACCTCTAGGGTGAGCACCGAAGGCGGCAGTGCACCTGGATGCACGCTACACACATCCCACACATCCCATCCCTTCCGAAGGGCTTTTTCAACGGAGCTGAGTGTCCAACGTGTCTTGCGCACACTCAAGATTGTGTCCTCATGAAGGTGAGTGGACAAAACTTGTCTCCCCTACCTAGGGAATCACGGGGACTTGCATAGGGACTGCAGCATTCTGCCTTAAGCGAAAATCCTATAATTAGGCTTGGGCTCTATGGGGGTTGCAGGTGGATACTTGTGGCAGCTCTGCCACTCAAGCAGTAAGTAAGTAGACTTGCAGTCGTTTGTCTGATACTCACAAACAAACAAACACTTCCATCTACGTAGTTATTTCCTGTCAAAATTGCGAACTCCTGGAAAATCGCATGCCCCAAATAGTACTTTGGCTAAGCTGTTCCCTCTTGCCAGTCTGCTGCTCCTTTTGCTCCGGCTCTTTGTGCATCTCAAGCGTGTGGTTTTGGAGAGGCACACGTCCCTCAATCAGGATTGGCCTCAAAACTCAATCTGCGGGATTTGGACGGTCAGAACTTGCAGCCAAATAGCTCAACTTGCAAAGGACGCTACTAGGGGCTCCTGGCATCGCTACTAGGAGCAAGGACGCTACTAGGGGCTCCTGGCCGTACTACTAGGAGGAAGGATGCTACTAGGAGCAAAGGGCACTAAAGAGCTAAATAGCTCAACTTGCAAAAAACACCAGATTGTCTATACATTCGAGGTACCAATATCGCTTTGGATGGTGTTTCTCTCTATATATATACATTATATACATGCACGTAATTCTATAATATGTATTCTTCAATAAATGCATCTGCTTGAAGTCCGAACATGTCCGAACCAAAGCCAGGAGCAAACTTCCAAGTTCCTGAGATTCAGACCTCGCATATCTCTGGACCAAAGAACCCAGCTGGCCCTGAGCCTCGACAAACTCAAACACAAAGACCATATGATCACAAAAAGTCCTTTCCTTGAGTAAAGCCTCTCATTTGCTGTGTTTCTATGTTGCATACCTGCGATTTCTTTTTGAAATTGATGGAAATTGGAGGTGCGACGACTCAACGGCCATGGGGTCCTGGTCGTTTTCACATGTTTTCACCAGTCTTCCCGCCTCGATTGGTAGGACCGAGGACAAGTGGACCATCCGGAGCCTTGCCATGGGTTTTGGTCCATGTAGATGTGTGGAGCCCCCCAACTGACCTATTCCACCAGAGTGGCACAAATCTGGAAGAGATCAGGTACGATGGAATATGAGTTTGCCCAAGGCCAGGACAAGATCCACAAACGTTTCTGACCTGCAAAGGGACACAATCAAAACGCCTTCAACAGATAAGAACTTGTATCCGTCATTCTCCTGTTTCTCACTTCAAGTTGCAATACATCCACGAGCCCAGCTAGACCTAGTTGACCTCGAAAAAAAGCTGAGATCTTCACTCTCAGCAACAAGGCGCTGCAATGGCCCCTCCGGAGCCTTGAGGAGACAAGAATTGGAATACAAATCCCAGCCGTGTCCCCATCACCCATAAATTTGTCGCCGACAGCAAAGAATGGACCCTGTAATTTGGAAAGCACAAATCCTCAGATCCTCATGAATATGAACCTCACCCACAAATACAAAATGATGCTGATACAGCGCACCCATGAGAGGTGAGACAAGCCTTCTTGGTGCTATGCCTCTATGGCTTCCCCAAAGCCATCTCTTTCTGCCTTTGAGCTAGTAGTAATGAATCCCTCTCCTACATCAACCAAACATCCCTCAAATCAGCAAAGCTGCATGGCCATTGGCCAAGGCCGCCAAAGCATGACCACCTCAGGCAGAAGTGGTACAGCACAAGTCTATATAAGTTCTTTGAGTCTAATGGCTTTTTACTCCGTCAGTAAGCGTTCTGAAGAACATTGTCTGAGCCCAAGGCAATCCTCATCAGCCAAGATTTCTGCCTCTCATGGAAGAGCTTTGCTGAAAGCACGGTTCTTCTTGTTGCTTTGCAGATATACCAGAATAACTTCACATAATGTCCTTTGAATGAATGCAAAAGGCAGCTTGTCACAGTATCATTTTTGGCAGTCCCTCAACAGGGTTATACCCTCAATCACCGCTCAGCTTTTTCCGTTCTGCCAGCTGCTCCAAGGAAAGACAAAGCTGGGAGGTGGATCCTTGCTGTATCCAACTGATCTTGCAAGGCAATTGCCGCTATGAGATGAACCGCAACATCTCCTGTACAACATCTGTACAAGCCAATCCCTCTGCGGCAGAGGAGTTGACACATGTTGAGTTGACAACTTCAAATGCTGCCAAGATCTGCTAAGTCATGCCAACTCTGTACATCAAATGCAATCAGGACCGTTTTAGGCCCTTGTTGGCACACCTGATCAAAAAGTTCCCGTAGGGACTTTAACCTTCTTGGTCGGCTTGGGGAAGGGCTTGCGAACACCATGTTTAAAGACAACGGGTTTGTACGAATCTGGAACGCTCTTGTGCATCACAGGGCTGTTGCGATACCTCTCTACATGAGCATTGAAGCCCTGGTGTGGCCCACTCCACCTGACTTGACAAACTTTAGATGTTGGCAAAGACCATGCCGCAAATCCATCAAACATCTTCCAGGCACGATCGACTGCAGGAGAATCAACCAAGTTCACAAAGGCGTAACCCAAATTAGCATCTCGCCAAAAGTCACATGGAAGGTAGACGAAATCATACAAGCCAGAGAAGCCATGATCATCAAGCATCGTCAGAAGCATCTCACGGGTATAATTGTTTGGCAAATTGCGCAACATGACTGTGGTACGATCTTTGCCTCGATTCAAGTCTTTTCCACTGGCTTTGCTTTCGGGATTCTTCCATTTTGACTCAGAGTCATCAACGATCATCTGCTTCTGAGTTCGCTCATCGGAGAACTTCCCGGGTTCATACACTGCCGGTACATCCAACCAACCTGTCAGAATGCTGTCTGACATCACTCTGCGCAGCCTTCTGTACTCCCGCTGCATGCATTGATCGTCCAAATCAATGAATGAGCTTCGCACGATGACTTTGGCATCGGCTTCGGCGAACTCCGTATTGGCTGGTGAAGGGGGTCGCGAAGGCCTGGTGGAGCTGGTCTCAATGTCACTGTGCTCTGTCAACATTGTCTCGGCATCACTGTGGATGTCCGGCTTCACCATAGTGCTCATCTAGAAGTCTGCAGAAACAGAACAGCAAATCCTGCTTCGGGCTGCAAATGCGCTTGAGCCGAACCTTTCCTTCAAGGCCAATGTTTTTCTGTTCATGTCTATCTCTTCAACAGGGCATGAAGCTTTACACTTCTACACGACTCAAAAACAGGCAGAATCCGCGGAATCTGAATTTGCCGATGGCCCAAACTACTTAAAGGATTGAAATCTGGACGCAAACAGCCTCCCAGCGCTTTTCACATCGAGGCAACAAGGCCAGAAGAAGCCGCAGTCCACCCAAGATCTGAGCAGAGCGGCCCAAATGCGCCCAACGTCCGACTAAAAATTAGGAGTTGGAGACTAAAATCATCTAAAGTCACACTTTAAGCCACTATGGATGTCATTGGACTTCATTTGGAACAACAGAGAGTATTTTGACTTGACTTGTCAGTCATCGATCCCTTCGAGACGAATCACATTGTTGAGACATGCGTTTTAATTCTTATTGTGACTAGTAGTAAGGCACTTGTTTCTAATAGCTTTTTTTGTTACTACTAGTAAGGCACCTGTTACTACTAGCGTGGCACTTGTTACTAATAGCAAACCGTTCTGTTCTTTTCTCTTCGGTGGGGTGCAAACTTTCAGCTCCTTCAGCTCCCAGCTACACCCTCTTGCGACGCACCGAAGCCTCTAGCGGCCTCGTGATGAAGGAATGAAGGAGAATTGCCAAAAGAGCTGTCCAAAGGGGAACAAAGGATCCCGAGTTTGAAAATGATTGGCAGAACAGGAAGAAACATGAGCCATGCACTGCTGTGGCCCGCTGTGTCTCCGTCTTGATGCAGAGGAGCACCTGAATGGGGAAGTGCAAGAGCGAGGTCTAGCGACTGCAGTTCTGTGCTGTCAACAAACACGCAGATAGGACAATCAGCTAGGCTCCAAAGGACAATCATGCTAATCAGCTGCTAATCCTTTAAGCAAAAGCCTCAAGCCAGCATACACTCGCACACATCTGCATCGTCTTGTGAGCTGCATGCATAGTTGATGTTCCGCAGGACATTGACACTCTGGAGGAAAATGCAAGCCTCAATGGATGCGTGTGAAATGGGTGGAACTAATCTTGCTATTCCGCATCAGGAGGCACAAATCATCACAAATCATTCCGGATCGAAGGGATCTCCTACGCTCTCGTGGACGTACTCCACACGGAACTTGTACAAACATCACTACTGAGAGGCCCGACTCTGGCATGGGCTGCACCCGCTTTCTGAGACGACCGCTGTAAATCACGGATCTCCACAAGAATCTCCTCCTCGCGAATGCAAAACACTGCATGAGACTGGCGCCTGTGCCATGGAGCAGCTTGTTGTCCAATTCCCAATCCCTTCCGCTCCCGTCGAGAGGATAAATGACTGAGTTGACGTTCAAACCGCCGATGGACCTGGCAGAAGTGTGTACACCTGCAATGAGAAACAATGGTGAGAGACCTTCTGAGAGAAGGCAACTAAAAGGACTGCTTTTTGGATGTGCTCAGAGGCCGGCGTGTGGCAGTGACAATCGCTGATAGTTCAAAAGCAATACCTGGGTGAGAAAATGGACGGTTGTCAACTGTTATCATGTTACAACTGCAAACAAATCGCACTGCCCTTGATGTCCGGCATGGGTCGTGGCATCCCTTGAAGAGGTTTCAGGAATGCCAAAAGCAATGGTGCTGCAACATATTTCATATATCAGCTACTAGGAGCGACGCACCTGTTACTAGTAGCGATGCCAGGAGCTACTAGTAGTGTCCTTGCTCCTAGTAGTAAGGCCAGGAGCCCCTAGTAGCTTCTTGTTACTAGTAGCGATGCCAGGAGCCCCTAGTAGCGTCCTTGCTCCTAGCAGCGATGCCCTTTGTTCCTAATAGCTTCTTGCTCCTGATGAACATCCCAGTTTTGCTGCCGCGTACCGAGTTGGCAAGCGCAAAGCCAAAGGCGATGGCTGCCCAAAGCCAGGCACTTTGGAGGATCTCAGTCACAAACTCGTCGCAAAGTAAGAGGAAAGGAAAGCATGTCAAAAGGTTTGTGATGATCTTAAAGACACATCTTGTAGCATCCGGCTCAATGTGTGATTGTTCCAAATCAGTCTCAGATTCCTGCTGCGTATGGAATTCCAGCAAGACCTGGCTTTGCCAATCTAGCTGGGCTACCAAAGTGAAGCATCCAAGAATGACCTCCCAGTGCTGCAGCACCAAGGCAAGTGACAATGCGCCACTCGGCTGCACGGTCCTCCACGAGAAAGCACAGTCAATTTTGTAAGCGATTGTGCTAGACCAGTGGCTGCAAACTGGATTGTTTAGTGAAGACTTCCCGGGAAAAACGGCAAATTTTACTCGCTGAGCATCAATGAATTCAGATGACCATTCCCAAAACCTTTCCCGTCGGGATCTGGACCCCGGGACCCCACTCACTCCTCAGGACTATCGTCAAGAGACTCGGCAAGCCTATCAGCTCAAAGTTGCCAGTTTTCCATCATGGGCTTCTGCAAACACAAGAGTTGCTTCATGCAATGACCTTTATCTGTCTTGAAGAGTTTCTGTATCTTCACTCAGCTGCCAACTTCTTGTCTGCTTTGCCTTTCCGCCGTGCAGCAAGGCCTGGCTGTCGAAGACCGAAGAGGTGTATATAATTAGAGGAAGGGCTCGAGACGAAGGAAATCGGATGGCTGAGCCAGGCTGTGCTATAGGCTGTGAGAAGAAGAAAGGCCTTGAAGTAGTTGCTGAAGCTCGGAAGCGGCACGCACCAAATCGCTTCGGCCTCAGTGAACCAACACGAACGCCGCGAAGTGAAGGTAGCGAACGAAGCGAAGGAAGCAAAGTGTTTGGTCGTTTGGCCCCACCTTCTTTCCTCTTTCCAGTGTCACTACTAGGAGCAAAGGGCATCGCTACTAGGAGCAAGGACGCTACTAGGAGCAAAGGGCATCGCTACTAGGAGCAAGGACGCTACCAGGGGCTGCTGGCATCGCTTACTAGTAACGAGAAGCTACTAGGGGCTTCTGGCCTTACTACTAGGAGCAAGGACGCTACTAGCAGCTACTAGTAACAAGAAGCCACTAGTAACAACGAGCATAGGCTACTAGGAGCAAGGACGTAAGCATGATGTTTCTTCTAATTCGCGGTGCACCTAAGAATTCCCGGTGAGAAGCAGGCTGTTTTCTTTTCATACGGGCTTCAGCTAGATGCCAATCAAATTTGGCAATACGTAGCACATCTACAAACCTGTTGTGCCACGCAACCAGTGGCCCTCATTTGGCCACAACTACGGACAAGTAAGGCTCCGCACGGGGACACCGGAGCGTCCCTGCTGAGTTGGCCATAGGCGCCAGCCGCCCCCGAAGCTCCTAAGAAAACATGAAGAAGACGGTCTCAAGAGAAAAAAGAAGGAAGGAAAGGAAAGAACAAAGACATGGAAGAAACAAAAGGAGAACAACGCCTAGTAAAAAAGATGTGACATTATGGTAGCGACCTGCATGTCTTGAAGCAAGTATGGTAAGGGCGTTGGGATGCACGTGTGACCAACCAGGCCGTGACGGACACCTTTGTAGACGATTTGCTGTAGTAGGTTGATGCGAGGCTAGGCTGGATAGAAAACTACGCAACACGAAGGATGACAGCAGGTTTGCTTTGACTGCTTGGTGCAAGGAGGAAGCTACATGATGGTAAGAAAATGTAAGAAAGTCACCTTCTTGGCTTGCAAACATTTACAAACTAACACTTCAATGGCTGAACAGTATCTGCTCCCAAATGTGTCTGAGTGCCGTGTTGCGTCAAACATAATGGTAGTCACGGAAGTCATGGCAAAGTATGAGTAGATGCATACTAGAAACTAGAAGTCACAAAGAAAAGCTTTTGGGAGCTGTTGCAGCAGTCGCCAGAAAATCTATGCAAAACCAGTAGTCGCAGGAGTATATGCGGACCATGATGACAGGTGCCAGGCAGCGGCCTGGAGGGAGTCAAAGTTGGCAGAAAGTGCTTGCTCGAGTTTTTCAAACCTGGGTGGCGGATTGAAATTGTGCCCACACCTGAAATGAGGTGGTGCTTTCATTGTCAACTTGAAATCCACTTTCCCAAAATTCACACGCTGCACCTGCGGTTCTCGGCTCAACTGAGAGCCAAACTCCTCGATGCCAGCACTCTGATCATTTGTGGGGCTTAACCTCAACGAAGCCATGCGTCCGTGAGGTGAAACCATTGTGAAGCATTTGCCCAATCCTGAATCCTGATCCATCAAAGCCCATTTGGGTCCTACAGAATTGGACCATAGCATGGGAACCCAACCACGCTGAAGATCACTCGCGTCGCTGCAGAATTGTGGTCACAGAAAGTCAGGAAACGTCGCAAACATAGACGACTATCAGACTATCAGACTGTTCTGTGGATGCACCATCACTATGACAAATCATCACATAGCTTATCATAGCTATTAGTCTTCGGAATGCTCATCATGTGAACATGACGGACAGTATTCATCACGTTGCATCTCAACTGAACTAAGCAACTAAGCATTCAACAAGGAGATTTGCTGAGACATTCCCGGTTCATGTCTGTTAGAATCCCCAAGGTATGTCAACATCAAATCCCACATGGGCTGATCTGGGCTCCAGTCTCATCGCCCAAATTGAACGATCTGTACTGGAAGCCTCGGCAGACCACGATGCCAGGACTGGCCATAGTTGACATGAATAGTATTGACAGGTGGGTGAAGAACAGCACATACCAACTATGAAAATCCAGAAATGGACTTGTGACTTGCATGTTCTTTTTCTTGCAAAGGCAAGAAGCTACTAGTAACAAGGTGCATCGCTACTAGTAGCAAGAAGCTACTAGTAGTTCCTGGCATTACTGCTGGGAACAAGAAGCTACTAGTCACCATGTGCACTGAGCATTGCGGCGCTGGTGCAGGCGCTCGGACAGCAACATGGAGCCCAGTGTCTCCGCTTCACCATCCTGTTCATTTGATCACTGATCTAGAAATGATCGGAAGGAACAAGAGAGTCTTCCTTCAAACCCCAAAAAAACAAAACAATTTCACTCGTTGATCAAAGGACTTCAAAGCAAGCGTCGGAACAACATCACATGATTCAACCTGTCCTCCTCCCAGCCATTGAAAAAGCTTATACCTGGCAAGTGTCCCACGGGTCCGTTGTACTAGCCATGGCAGGTCCATTGCTTCCAAATTGAGATCCTCCTTTTGATTGACCAACTTAAAGCTTACTGTTACTGTAGCTCGACCACCTCTTCAGCAAAATTGCACAAGTCTCTTGAATGCCAAAGGTTTACTTCAAGGCAATCGGTACCTTAAATCCACCCTATCTGCCGATATATTCACTTTCACCCTGTAGCAAGTTCCTTTCAATCCATGCTGTTGCACTGTTGTTTGCGGCAGCTGCTGCCGTACAGGCCACAGTACCTCAGTTGTTCAGCAACTGAAATCATATCACATCCCCTTTGCATTGATTGAATGAACCACGAACGTGCAAAGCCAAAGGGCAAATAGTTGTGCAAAAACCAAACACATCATTGTTTCTAACCAGCAAACCAATACTGCACAAAGTGCAGCTCAGATCCAGTTGCTCGAGGAAAATCTTGAAAGCCAAGTGACTGTTGTTTGCAGACCACCAATTCATCATAGCCTGACAAATGACAGCCACTTGTACCAAACACAGTGGATTGACATCAACATCATCATCATCATCATCATCATCATCCAACAAGAAACATTCAGAGCAAATCGGAATGTCAGTGGAGACCTCCCCCTCTGGCAACTCAAATAGACGGCCTGTAAAGCTTTGGTGTCATCACTATCGAGCGCCTGCAAGAACGAATCATGAGCGAGATAAGGACGCAGTCTGCATTCCAAGCAAACATAGAAAAGCATTAAGTCACACTGACACAGAGTTGCTGCTAGTGGCCCAGTATGTGCTGTGTTTCCGCTGAAACGGGGAATCAAAGCGTCACAAGCCGGCACAAACACCTTCTCACGGAGAGAAGACGAAAGCCAGGCCTTTCCCATGCGCTCCACCTCTACGTGCAGTGCTCTCTGAACTGCACGGTCCACCTCGTCAAAATGCCAGTCCGGTCGATTGAGAACAAATCATCTCCAAAATTGTTCCTAGTAGCTTCTTGTTACTAGTAGCGATGCCCTTTGCTCCTAGTAGCTTCTTGCTCCTAGTAGTACGGCCAGGAGCCCCTAGTAGCTTCTTGTTACTAGTAGCGATGCCCTTTGCTCCTAGTAGCTTCTTGCTCCTAGTAGTACGGCCAGGAGCCCCTAGTAGCTTCTTGTTACTAGTAGTATCTCATCTCTCAACGATTTCGCCAGCGCCTTCAGCCACAGCTGCAAGGCCATGGAGGCATGACCTTGCGTCGTATCAATGGTGTTCTACAATCACTTCTTTCCAGCAATCCGAACGTAACAATCTGATCCGTACCCCATGGAGTGTTCGATCATCAACTACAAGCCACTGGGGATGTGTAGGTTCTAGTTGACGGTGAGAGTGATTCATCAACGACGCTTTGGTAGCAAATCTGCCTGCTAGTGGTGCCGTTTCTGATCGGCTTAACCTGGCTTCTTTGGCCTCCTGATGGCAAGTGGCGATCGAAGAAACACATGTTTTATCATGATTTCATCGTTTTGCAAGTTCCCTTTTGCCGGAAAGACTTGCCAGTTGCCAAGAATACCAAACAAGTATAGAATTCCTGTGCCAAGTTCTTGTATGTTCTTGTTAGATGTTTCTTTCTGTTCAATCTATCCACTGCTTAAAGGGCAAAACCGGCAAAACCCAAGAGACGTCCTCAGAGACGTCGCCGATGAAGAACATATCTGGCCCTCTCGCCCTCTTCTCCTCAACGAGCACTACAGCACTCCCTCCCGAACCCTCTCCGACGAAAACAAATATTCAACCAACTCACAGAATTCTGCAAGTCACACAAAAAGGATCTTAAATCATAAATTTATTTATTCACTCTCTCTCTCTCTCTCACATTCTCTCTGTACATCACAGCCTAAGCCTCACGCCCCGGTAAGTAACCGCATAGTCTGCACTCTATCCACAGCCTCAAAAACCATTTGTCACCCCTTCATGAATAGAACTGAGATGAATTGAGAAATGGCGTCGAATTACGTTCTCAAGCGGCAGGCAAAAGATGGCCACGTCTGATCCAACAACACTCACGTGGCCGGCTCGGAGTTCCCCACCATTTCAGCTGCGGAGTGGCTGCCCAAGGAAGCATTTCGAATGTCTTGCCTTAGATCAGCTACCTTCCAATTTACAAGGAACCCTGAAAGAACACTGAGAACTTACTATGGAACTCATGGTCAGATGTCTTTTTCATTGTCATTTCCTGTTCTCAACCCTTCTCAGGCGGATGTGGGACTGTAGCAGTTCGCCGCTTAATGCCACCAGGGCGCCAAATGTCCGTGAGTTTCGAGGCCACTTCGTGAAGGCTTGTTCGCCAGCTCCCACAGAACTCCTGGAAATGGGAAACGCAACGAAGCTGTGCGAGAAGACACCGCATCCGCACCGCATCACCCATGTTCATCCGCTTCATTCAGCGCGGCCGTTCCTGCTTGTTCATACTTGGCTCTGAATAAGAGAACAAGTCTATCAGTCTATCCAGGTCTATCCAGGTATCTAGAGACGTAAGAAGCTTGCAATTCATAGTCGCAAAGTGAAGCCTATTCGCAACGCAAATGGGAACCATGTCATGGGCCATTGGGAGCAAATGGGAACCTGGGAGCAGTAACCAATACTCGCAGGAGTGATAGTATTTGACTGGTATTAAGGCAAACAGAATGCATTCGCGCTGGTAGAATCATTGTTTTTGCTAGGTTACAGTGTACACCAACTCATGAAGCAAGCTTTTATCCCGCAAGGATAGAAATACACATGAACAAAACCAACAACCAATCCTTCATAATCTATTAAAGCAACATAAAGGGAAAGCATGCTTCAATTGATTCCGTGGGCAAACGCATCATCCAACCAGTCCACAAAAGACCTTCTATACAGTACAATCGCAAACCCTTTCTAGGGCCAACAGGTCAAGAATTCCTCGCACAAATCCGTCCTGGTCTAAGGCTGCATGGGACCGTCGGGCCATTTCCGCCCAGTCCCGTGTCAGATAAGCGATGCCAGCCTGTGAGAGTTCGAGTTGGGGAGGGTTGAGAGGAATTCCGAGAAGCCAAGCCCCAAGGAGACCCAATGTGTCTGGCACCCCATGTGTCCCAAGCATTCTTCATGGCAAAATGCTGTACAGAATGCCACAAAGAGGTCTTTGAGGTTCGGCAGACCCCCCATTTCGGAGTTTCAGCGCAGTCGACTGAGCTACCAGGCCGTGACATCCGCTTGATCTGCCAGCTGGCTTGTGAGTCGCGAGCTCAGCTCGGCCCATCGCCTGCTTGGGAGGTGTTTTGTTGAGCTCTGAAGATCTTGAACTCATTGTGTCCCAATCCATTTGCAAAAGAGCGGAGGTTTAAGATGGTTTATGTATAGCTGCAGGACATTAAAATCCTATACCGACCCCCGCCCATGCGCATCTCCCAACCGCCCTTGGGCGGGCGCCTCGACCCGCCGAGGAGGTGGTTCCACCAGACCTGGCAGGTGATTTTGTTCAAGCATCAATGTGGAAAGTGGTGGAAGACTGGTTCTTCTGTGTGGAACACAGAACCTTGGAACAGTCAGGAATCATCACAACTTGAGCTCGGAACGAGCCAGGCACAAGAAGAATAAACGATCAGCAACACGGCAAGAACCTCAGGCTGCTTGACACAATGTGTGCATCAGCCTCACCAAGAATATCCAAGAAATCATGTGCATTGGACAGATTCACACGACATTTCTACACGATCAAAACTTGAGGGCTGTGGGTCTCTGAGAGCTTCGGCTGCTGTGGCTGGTAGAGGAAGGCCCATTCCTCCACCAAGCAAGAATCAATCCCCATCACGGCCCAAATCTATGACAAGCCAACTCAGATTCAGTGCCTCCGAAAAGGAAGGGTGCCAGAATTCCAGTGATCGTGACCTCAGGCAAAGCCCTGTAGACCCGAGACCGTTTTTCGTGACCCATGGGCACCCAGGGCACGTTCCTCTTGGGTGATCAATGGAACCAGGTCCCACGTCAGCCATGCTCAAGAATCCAAACACAAAAAGCTCGAATCCATGGCACATGCGGCACATGGGTTCGTATGACTTGTCTCTCATGGGTTCACAAAGGCCGTTCGGAGCCTCGCCCGCCAAGCGCGGTCGGTCCCTTTTCGAAGCTGGTCGCTCGGATGTTTAGGCTGTGAAGTTCTTGAGCCATGTCCTCAGAGAAGGTCGACCATTCCTCGAAGTTCACCTTAGAATCGCACAGACCCAAGTGAGAAGATTGCCATCTGGCCTCGCATGGGGGGGTTGATCTCCTAAAACATCTCAAAAGATCGAGCACCCAGAGATTTCAATCATGTGACTGCGTGGTTTGATCCTGTTTGATTGTATTTGCACTAATTGAAGTTGAGTCTTGTGTGTATGTACCATGCAATCAACCCTGATCCATGCACAAGAAACCCGGAGAAAGCGACTGGGATACCACGGCACAAGCGACTGGGATACAAACAGGACGACTTTAAACTGAAAGCAAAAGTTCAATGTGGCAACACCAAGCTGAACACATCCCTGGACGAAAACTTGTACCTGGTTTGCCACACATTTCGGTGATGCACAACATATTTCTTTAGAGGCCCATCTGGTGAGATGACAATGGCGCGTGCCAATGTCACAAGACCAAATTGTATAGCTGTGGTGTGTTGCGGATGTGAATCACCTGGTCGCCCTGGCGTTTGGGCCTGAAATGCCGATGGTCCACGCCGCTGCCACCATGCTGTGGCCGATGACTTCGGTTTCGCATCATCTCGGCTCTCCACTCCAAGGTTTGGATCTGCTTCGGGAGCAACGTGCATTCAAAGGCTCGATCCGGACCTGCTGGTTGACCTTAGCTCCGGTCTGTGGAGGTCTACAAGTCCATGTGATCCATGTCAGGCAGGAAAACTCTCTGAGTTTTCCGCGTTTGCTCTAGAGTCCACCGGAAGAGCATCAAAGAAACTCATCTGCCTGCTATATATTGTCTCTTACCTGTTGCATGTTTACATTTCTCCGGGAGGAATGCTACCAATACTAGGACACCCTCAAAAAGAATAGAAAACTATCTCTTCTCCAAGCTTCAGTAGGTGCTAATCGTCATCCAGTCCCGCACGTTTTCCATGGCATACCTCAAAGGTGGCCGACCAGCTTTGAGCCCACATGGGCTAGAAAAAAATTGTTTCTGTCCCAAAGAGATTTGGGTGGTAGCTATGCACAAATTACTATCTATATATAACATCGTACTAAATGACTAGAGTGACTCTAACCGCCACCGAAAACACTTATACAAAGGAAATTAATGTCAAAAATGGTCAAAATGAATCCAGAAGATGCTCGCACAAAGTGACTCTTCCAACTCGATGACTTCGGTCCGGAAAGCTGGATCATTGCTTAGAGCCCACAAAAACTTGGGTGCTCCAGGCTTCAGGACGTTGTCAGCCACGATCACCGCTTGATCCATCAAGAGCTTTGAGCACTTTAAGATCTCTAAATCCTCGACTCTTCATCTCCATGGACATTCAAAACCCTTTCACTCTGATCCCTAAACCCTTTCAAAAGTCTTCTCTGAGCCACTGGATCCACTGATACCATCTTAAAATGTGGACCAAAAACACGGACATCTTGATGTCCAACCGCTAATACTGTACTGATGCGTTCGCACGATGTCGTGCAGCTTGTGTGCTTTTGCCATGTTTGAGCCAAGCATCTGATTGATACCTGGACCCTCGCTGGTCCATAAACACGAAGCCGATCAACGGTTCTCCTGGCGTGATGAAACTCAAAAAAAGTACCTTATGCTTCCATGGAAGGAGGGGAATATATCAAGGAATGGAGTCCATCCTACTAGCGATGGCCTTCATCCTACTAGCGATGGCATCCAACCAACTAGAGATGGCCTCCAACCTAAGAGCGATGGCATCCAACTTTACCCAAACGTCAATTCCCGCAACATATCTAGCTACTACCTCCCTACCTCTACTAGGGGCTTACCCCATCTAAAAAGATAGATATATAATTATATGTATATATATATATATTAATGTACGTTTTGTGCTTTAGATTCGTCACGTTTGGTGCAAAGCAAAGGCTTCATTCTCCGGCAGGTCTTTTTGTCCTGGCTCTTTTGCTGCCAAGTGTTGCATCAGCCACGGCAGTGTGTCTTCAGTGTGGCCAACAATGACTTCAACCTTTTGCAAGGCACAGGGACCGAAACTCAACTCCTCTTGTCTTGATTGAATACAAAAGCATACAGGAACTGAGCAGGAAAGATCATGAAAGTACTTGAGGAATGATCAAGATGTGTTCATGTGCCTCCTGTGACATTCCCGCAAATGCAATGACTTTCTCGGCGATCAGCGCATGTCCCAAATCCGCCTCGACCGTTACCTCACTGAGATTCTTTGCAGACTGCAAATATGATCAAAAGACCTCTTACGCTTGAAGACATGCAGATTGCAAGAGGTCAATGCATTCTTTGTGCCTTTTTGCAGTGTACTACTCTCTTCACACTTTGTCAATCTTCGATTCTTCCCAGTGGCTACCTTGCGATGACAAGAAAGATGCAAGGCTGAGAAGCCGCAGTAGGTTCCCAATTCGAGAGCGAGTCCTACCACTCGTATATATATATATATACACATGATAATGTCAAAAGACTTCAAATGCATCAAACTTATCGATCTGTGATTGGCTCGTTTCGGTTTATGAATAACTCTTTCTGGCTTTGTCGTTGCAGAATGTTGCAGGCAATCCTGTCCTTTCGGGCTGCTTGCCACTGCAGAGGATAGGAGCTCAGCCTTTGGCCCACCCGCAATCTTCAGCCACTTGCTGGAGGAGGGAAGCCTGAGGCAAACTACCGAGTGGACATCTTTCGGTGAGGCTTGAGACGGACCAACCTACTAGCGATGGCCTCCACCCTAGTAGCGATAGCCTCAAAGCATTTCTTTGATTCTTTTTTCAGAGAAGTGAGTACCCAAGACCCGTCCGAAAACCAATCTCCTGTGGAAAGGGCTCTTGCCAAGAAGCTTCTCCCGACCAAATTGCTCCATTGCTCTGCACACGGCAGAAGCATTTCTGCTGGCTGATGTTCGCACATGCTGCAGTAGCATCAACTCCTGTAAGACTCCGCAGCAGAAGATCTGAATCGTTTGTCCTGCCATTGAAATCCTTCAATTATATATATATAGTTCCGTTGGATCAAGCGTGGCCACCTGTCCTTGGCATAGGAGTGCCCAGCTTGAACTGGTGGCAAGTCCTCAAGAATGTGCAAAGCAGCCTCATGTTCTCTATTGCATTGAACGCCAGGAAACTGATACAAAAAGTAATGTACTGGAGGAACATGTTCGCATGACTGTCCTAATTGGCCTACTGTATGCCGGAGTTGGAAATCAATTCATGTAGCAATAGAGCTGTGTCGGCAAAGCTCCTCGAAATGAGGAGCAGGAGCTTGTGCAAGTCCGGCCATTGCTGGACTTCTTCGGTAGCACCGGACAAAGCGCTCCAAAAGTGGCCTCAAAGGCTTCCAAATACCAAGCTATACTCAACCTATCAAGGTGCTTTCTTTGTTGGCATACCGCCATATTAAAGAGCTTTCCATATTTCTCCTCTGTCAGTCAAAGTGTCGCTTGGTGTACCTGCTGCCTCCTGCAGGCACCAGCCAGAATGCCAAAGCTCGCACCGTCTAAGAGCAGGTTGCACTCCAGCGCAGCATCCAAGAGTCGAAAGCAGCGCTCCAAGTTCCCGCAAGAGGCTTCAAGCAACATGCCTTATATTGACAAATGATGACAAATGCCATTGGCCATTGGCATCTATGGCTCCTTGTGTTCCATGAACATTGAGCGCAAGCTGGGTAAGTTCTGCTTACATCTCTAATTTGCAACCTCGTGGCCCACATTTTCTGCCTGTATGGAATCCTTGGTTGCACGTGATTCCAAGACTTGCAACTGCAGTTTGCAGTTGCCGTTGCTGGCACCAGTGACAAGCCAAGCCTCCCTCAATGTGGAATCACGCAGAATCCAAATGTACCGAGACGTTGTTGCATCAAGCAGTGGTTCGCTGATTGCATCTAGCTTGACTAGTGACCACGTCAAAGTGGCTAAAGCATCTGCCCGGAATTCATGCACTTTGCCGTTGCTGACTCTGGACCACGCTTCTTGGCCAATAGACTCCAACAAAGGCGCCTGCTGATGCCTCAGGGTTGTGAACTTTCATGCTGTGTTGCAGAGATGCTGCGGCTGAAGCTCAGGCATGAGAGCAACTCCGGCAAAGCCCAGTGCATCCAGCAAAGATTTCTCTGGCTCTCGCAAGGTGGCGTAGCTCCAAACCACGTTGGACACATCTTGAGGCACCAGCTATGGTCATTATCTGATTGCTGTAGAGAAAGTGCCTAGAAGAATGGAATCTCGGTAGGCGACTCTCCTGAGACTTCATACAGTGTTCGCCAACTCCCGTGGCTTGAAGCCCGATGCCAATGTTGAAGCTCGGGCTGCTAGGGCTTCCAACATCGCTGAAAGCCAGGAGCATTTGGCTTCCAAGCCTTGAAACCTCTTCAGCTTGGTAAATCTCCATAAGCTGTTGGCGATGCCCTTGGGACTGAGCTCTGAACAATGGGCAAGACTTGCTGCAGCAAGATCCTTGAACAGCTCTTCATCCTGATATTGCATCCTACCAAAACCCCAAGCCAAATTACCCAGTTCATGCGCGGAGAGCTCTGGAATCCTTCCAGCTACAGCTTGAACTGCTGTCAAGAAAGGTTAATGGAGCTTCTGAAGACTTGCGAAGCCTCAACAAATGTTTGCCAGCTGTTGAGGCCGTATTTCATCCAGATTCAGATGCGAAAGCTATGCCAAGTCATCTTGGACCTCGGCACTTCAGCACGAGTCGTGCGCTTCTTCAGGAAGCTCACTGCTTCAAAGGGAAAATATTGAACAATTGATGAACATTGTGTGCTCATGGATCTGTGGTTTCGGATTGTTTCAGTCTTTGAATTCAATCCACCAGGATCAGACTGAGTGTGTTCCTCGCTCTCCCCATGCCTATCCCTTCCCTTTTAAGCGCTGGGCCTGCAACGACCACTTCGAAGCTGACGGATGAGATTCGACCCGGGCCTCTCGGAAAATTTAACGCAAAAAATTGTTCCTGTTTGGTGCCCCCCTCTCACTTCAATCCTGCACACGCAGCAATACATGCATGCATCTTTACATAGTCTTACGTTTGTTTGATCAAACATAGCACCATACCGAACCATCTTCATTGCCATTCGTACTTACTAGACTTATACATATATGGGGACCATCACATCTGAACTATCTAATAATGCAACAAATAGTAAATAAAGTAGGTATGGATAAACAGTATAGATATATGTGTATGGTATTGTATAGTATATATCCCAGATTATAATATATATTGATTGTTCCTAGTAGCTTCTTGTTACTACTAGTAAGGCACCTGTTACTACTAGCGATGCACCTGTATATATATATATATGATATATCTGTATATATAGTAGTAACAAGTGCCACGCTAGTAGTAACAGGTGCCTTACTACTAGTAACAAGAAGCTAGTAGTATATATGATATTGTCATTGTTTGCTTCGGTCACCCGTTTGCTTCCGCCTGATGGGACTGATGCCGACCCGATCCGAAAACCCGTCCAAATGCCGGGAGACGTCCCTGCCAAGCAAGAAACCAAAGGCACCACAAGTGCTTTGACAAGATGTGTCTGAAAACAAAAACTATTACATCTGATCATCTGATACATGAAACGATCATTCAAGAATGATGCTCGTATAAATCACGATGAGTCCTTTTCTCGTCCTTCAACATAAGCATTCTAAAGGATGCACAAATAGGTTCTCTTATCTACGCTTTACATCTAAAAAGCATATATCTTCCAGCGTGCTGCACTCACCTGGCCTCCGGTATCCGAGAACAAAGGATTCTGGCTTCCATTCTACATGTCAGGAGATCTAAGAAAAGTTGCGAACACCTGTTTTCTGCGCATCTGCAATGTCAGGACCCTCTCAATGCAGTGAACAATCGGCCAACATAATCCTCACTTGAATGTGCTTTGAATGTTCTGAAAAAGAACAAAATGAAAAATCAAACGTCTATGTCTATGTTGTCTTTCATTTGTATCATTGGTATATATGTCTACGGTTTCAATTTGTGGACTTGTGTCTCACAATTTCCTTGAGCACTGGACGACCTGGCTGGCACTGTGGCAGTGGCCACTAAAAGGCGCCACGGAGAGCCAAACGGTCAGGGATCCGGCTGCTAGGGTACACATAGATGCCCAGCGCACCAGGTCCATGTGAGTGAGGAAAGGCACTGCAACCAGCACCTAAGCTACATCTGTTTTTCTGTCAGCACATGAGCTTGTTTGATCAAAGAATGACATGTTGTCTTGAGCTCAATCTATGGGATTGACAGCACACTTCATCTGTGGGCTTCTTGAGGACCGGACAATAAGAAAAGCATGACCGGTCACATGCAGCCTGCCATCTCAGAATGAGAGTTTCACTTGAACCTCTGGGACCCGCCTCATGCTCACCCTGTGCTCACTCTCATCAACTTCAGTTATTTTGTTAAAGCCCGTGGGGTGGGGTAGGAGGTCGGAGAGGTAGCTACTAACTAGTAACTAGCTGCAAGTGGATACTACCGACAGGACCTTCAAGGAAACTCCTTGAAGAAGCGCTCGCACTAATGATTTGGTTCCTAGATGTTTAGGGAAACTTAAGGTTCCGAATGGACCCGAGCAACACCAGCGCCAGTGTGGCCACATGCTCGGCGTCATGGCCGGAGTTGAGGGCCAAAGCCTTGCTCCGTTTGGTTCCCAAAACACTTCGGTGGCAGTTCCGGCGATCGAAGATCCCAAGTTCGGTGCTCTCATCCCAGCGCAAAGAAAACACCAGGCACTGTATCTCCAAATGCTGAGTCCGAGACCAATAAAGCCAACTGTGAGAAGAAACAAACCTGAGATGGGAACGTTGCAACATGTTGCAACAGAAACACATTTGACTGAAAACAAGTAATTCTCTCTGCACTTCTTCGGTCTTACGACCAACGATGTGCCTCTCCACTCAAATTTGAGGAACAGGCGTAGGGAACTTCAAGGTCACTTTTGATTTCTCCCATCATCACGTTCTACACAATAACTTTAATACGTGATACATCTTCAGCAAAACCTGACCAGCCAAACACAAATATTATAGATGATTATTGTAGGAAGATTGAAGATGTAGGAAGAAAACGCCAACAAACGAAACATGCACCTTAACAAGGCCTTTCCTTTCCACTCAGCGAAACCAAAAAACAACAAATAACACGGTGGCTTGGTGGTTTGCAGTCTGGTTCGGGAGATCCCCACTTCGCACGGCGAAGGTCGGCGAGGGCCATCAAGCGCTCGGCGGAGCCTGGCCCAGAAAGCGACTAGAAGAGAAATGACCCGAGCGACAAGACCGTCACAACAGAAACTGGTCGACATAATGTGACGTAGGTAGCGACATGTGGCAAAAGTTCTAGATCCTTGATACTCAACAAAGGACGAGCAAGCTCTAAGTGCTACATGATGCGATATACAATAACTCTTTTGGGCCGTAGTAAGAAACCAAGAATCGGCGACGTCTGGAAGCCACTTCAAGCACATGCTGAAGCCCACTGGTTTCGCTCCATCGCAACAGTGCTCGAACCCGCTCCTGCCAAACTTGTGCTGGATTCAGACCCTTCAGTTACACCACTTTTCAAAAAAGAACGTATCTGCTCTTTATACTGGTATACTGTTACATTAGTATATACTGTTATAAACAGTACTTCTCAAATCTAAAACACAAAAGGCCAAAACGGATCCCGAAGACGTTTTCTCGAGCGTCCTCCGCAGCAGGCCGTGTCCAGCGCGACAGCAAGGCCTCCCGCCGGAGCGCCCATTGGTGTTGCTTGGCGCTTTCGGCCGCTTCGATGAGCAGCTCCTGGTATCGAAGCGGTTTCGCAGTCTAGCGCTGCTAACGACCCGGGACCCTAACGGCTAAGCACCGATTTCGATCTGGTGTCTGATGTTTGCTTCTAGCTTTGTATGGGTCTCTTGAATTCCATGAACTGTGCAATTCGTCTTGAGATTCCAGATTCCATAAAACTTGTAACTCTGACTCAAGAGGCCTCGAGTTCATCGCCACGGGCTGACCTTGTGCTTGTCACGACGCATCTATGTCTATGTTGATTGTTTGGGCGACACTCCAAGAATTCTTTCCTGCTTCCCATCCATGTCAAGCTCTGAAACAAAGACTTAGGGACTATGTAGATTACGTTTGTACAATCTTCTATCATTCTACGTCGCCATGACACCTACAATGCTAAGGCAGCTACTCCATTGGCATCTGTCCAAAAACTCGCATGATTGCCGCAGCAGCATCCTGCGCATCGCCTGCCTAGGCAATCAATCAGCTCGTCTATGTATAAAATAAAAGTTCATCTGAGCATATTTCAGTTTATTGGGGTTGATACCTCTCTCGCTCTCTATTAGGGTGGAGGCCATCGCTACTAGGGTGAAGGCCATCGCTATTGGGTTGGAGGCCATCGCTACTAGGGTGGAGTCCCTATTAGGGTGGAGGCCGTCACTCCTGGGATGGTGGGCATCGCTATTAGAATGGAGGCCATCACTATTAGGTTGGAGGCAGGCCATCGCTACTAGAGTGGAGGCCATCGCCATTAGGTTGGAGACCATTGCTGCTAGGGTGGAGGCCATCGCTATTTGGTTGGAGGCCAT